ATGATCCTGGAGTCCCTGGATCGAGTCCCGCATTGGGCTCCCTGCTTCTGCCTCTGACCCTCCCCCCTCTCATGTGCTCTCTCTCTCTCATTCTCTCTGTCTCAAATAAATAAATAAAATCTTTAAAAAAAAAAAAAAGAAAGAAAGAAATACTCAAAAATAAATCACTTGAAAGAGATACTCCACAGTAAATCACCGATTTATTTGTAGATTATCTCTGTAGTGAAATTATAAATGAGTTTTTCTTTTCCTTTTTGCCTGTCTGTATAACTGAATGAACATACACTCCTTTTTTTTTTTTAAGATTTTATTTATTTATTTATTTATTTATTTATTTATTTATTTATTTGAGAGAGAGAGACAGAGACAGAGAGAGCATGAGCAGGGGAGGGGCAGAGGGAGAGGGCGAAGCCAACTCCCACTGAGCAGGGAGTCTGATATGGGGCTCTATCTCAGGATCCTGGGACTATGACCTGAGCCACCCAGGCGCCCCTAGACTCCTTTTTATGCGGGAAAAAAGATGTTCTTTTAAGAAACAAAGTAGCACCTGCCGTGTGTTTACTCCTCTTTGCAGATTGTTGGTGAGCATGCTCACACGTGCGCACGCGCGCGTGCACACACACACACACACACACAGCCTCCAGAACTCTGGGGAAGGTGTGGTCAGGAGGAGGGGCTGCCCTCACCCTGCCCACTTCATCCTGCCCTCCAGAGGACCAGGGCTCAGAGGGGACAGGAGAATTTCTGTAGGGGTCAAGGTTGGGGGGCAGCTGCCCAAGGTGCTGAGTTTGTCAGCAAAGCGGACTTCAGAGCAAGACCCACCCCGAGAGGGCTGCCCTGGTTTCCTGTCATCAGTGAGAAGGGCTGTCCAGGATCGGGGTTGGAAATGGAAGCCTTGGCTTCTGGGAGAAAGTGGCAGAGTCCAAAGGCACTGGTTTATGGCAGCTAATAAACATGCCAGGTGGAGTCAGTACCCGGGAAGGGGGTGGGGGGGCAAGAAGAGCACCCGTGCCCCCTCTGAGCAAGTGTCCTGCCGAGTGAGAGACCGGTTCGGGTGCCAGCCCCTTCGGTCCTGGAGGGGTCGCAAGTGTGAATCCCTGGCTCTGCATCCGGGAGTCCTGCCCTATGCCCTATGAGCCCTTCTCCCAGGGAATGAGGGAGGACGGCCGAGCCTCCTCATCTGGGTTGGGAGGAGGAAGGGTCCAGGCTCCCCTGCCTTCTGTGGCTGGGGCTGTCCACGCACAATGAGCGCCAGAGCCGTGGGCAGAAATGTACCCTATCCCCGGGAGCTCGCTCACGCCCAGCCAAGGGTGGGGCCCACTGGCTCTGGCTGTCAGGCTGTCGCTGGGCTCCACGGGCTCCCAGGGACCTGGCGGGCACCTGCCTCCCCACCCCCTCACCCATTCTCTCTCTCTCTTTCGCTGGGGCCCTATCTTCCCTTATATGGTGAAGGCAGTTCCTAGAGGGGGGGGGGTGGGGACAAAGGTCGCTCTCCTGCAGCCAGCTTGCCATAACTCCCTGAGACCTCCCAGGTGGCAGCTGCCTCCCCCAGACAGGTAAGGCAACCCTGTGGGACACTGGGACAGTAGGTGGTGGGGGGCAACAGGACAGGGGGCAACAGGACAAGGGCCCCCGCTTCTTGCTGGCAGCGTAGGGCCACCTTGGAGCGGACGTGAAGGAGAGGCTTGGCACTCTGGAGCGTCTGGAAAGAGCAGGGAGCCCAGTGTGGCTTCCTGGGCCTCCAAGGAAAGAATTGTACAGTCTGCACTCCAGACAACAGCTCTTTCAGAGCCGCACCTGACGCTAACTTCACTTCAGGTGTCAACCATCCCGATGGCCCTGAATGGGGAGAATCTGGAGGCACGGGACTTTGAGATTTAAAACTTGGACACTCCTGGGCAAACCAGGACTAGTTGGTCACCCTGACCTCGCTCTGCCTCCCCTTCCCCTGCCCCACCCCGTCTCTCTGCCCATTTGTTCTTTATCTGAAACGGTTTCTTTCTTTGGGCTGCCATTCCCCCTGGCACTGCTGGGGCCTCGGCGCTCCTGGATCCTAGGATGTGAGCAACAACCCTCAGGAATTAGATGGGCAAAGACAGAGAGAGGCAGGGGGCTGGTGACTGGCAGGGCCCTTTTGGCCCCCATCCATGCTTGGTCACCCAGGCATGCAGCTCTGTCCCATCTCCCCTCCACCAGGACCTGTCATCTGGCCTTACCAGCCATGGTGGCCCCATGTAGCTGAAATGGGTCGGGGGGAGGTAGGAGCCAAGTCCAGACCAGGGTCTTGGGACATCCGGTCCAGCCCTTCCCAGGAAGCCTGCAAAGGCATCCCAGGTCTGCAAGGGGCAGAATCTGCAGCCTGGGATGCTGGGGTGTGTCCTCTCTCCTCGCTCTCACAGGCCTGGGGAAGCAGGAGGGTGTCCTGGGTTCTAGGGCCTGCCACATCCGTGTCTAGCTCAGAACGGCATGACTGGGGACTGAGAGCTGTGACAGCACTCCGCAGCTGGAACCCTGACAGCAGCAGGGTGGCAGTTAAGCAAGGAAAGATGGGACCTGGTGGTGCAGGAGCCCGAAGTCCCACCAGGGCTCCAGCACGATCCACCCCATCCATTCCACAGTTCTGTCTTTAAGCTCTGTGAACATTTGTTGAGCACCTACTATGTGCTAAGAGTTGGGGTCTGCACAGATGAACAGTCCAGGTCCTTGACCTTGGGGACCTCAGACTTAGAAACAGATCCTTTCATCACCATGTGGTTAGGGGGTCAAGAGTGGCATGGGTCCAGGATGCCTTGGAGCCCTCGGGGAGGGGTGCTTAGTCTAGCCTGAGGATTCTGGGAAGGTGTCCTGGAAGAAATGAGAACTAAACTGAGTCTAAAGGAGCATGTAACGTTCAGCCATGTGAGGAAAGGTGGGGAGGGCGTTCGGTAAAGGGAAGAGCAGGACTAAGGACATAGGGGGAGGGGGAGAAGCAGCCTGGGGGGCCAAGGCAAGCAAGCAGTCCAGCATCACTAGAAGGCAGCGAGCGAGCAGAGAGAGGTAGGGGTGTGGCAGGGGGCAGGCAGGAGGGACATTCAGGTGGACAGAGGGCAGGAGAGGGAGGGTTCCAGGGTGTTGCCCAGATAGCTGACTTTGGGGGGATCTGGGAGGAATGGCGCCCTTCCTCAAGTAGGGGACAGAGAATACTGGGGACCAGGAGTGAGGGTGGTAGCCAGCAAACTCCAGTTGAGGGAGAAGGCAGTGTATATGCAAACCTGGGGCCATGCTGTGGGCATGGGAGAGTGAGGAGCCCATAATCCTCCCACCAGGTCAGGAGCAACAGCCTCTCTGGGGAGGGCCCACCTGGGGTGGGGGGCAGGGGCGTCTGCTTGGACCAACATGGATGAGAGCAGGAGCCGTCGGAGAGTATCCGTGGGGGTACCCTTGGAGTAAGAGCTCACCTCTCAGGGCTGCCCTCCTCAGGATCCCCTTGCCCCCCACCCCAGCAGAGGCTCCCCCTTACCAGTTCAGGCTGCTAGGGGTCCCGGATCCTGATTTTCCTCTAGGGAGGGAGCGTACTGGCTTTTCCAAATCCCTGCTCCCCCAAATCTCCACTCATCTGATGGGCAAGAAGCGCCTACTCCTGTCTACCCTCAATTCCTCTTTTTTTTTTTTTTGAAGATTTTATTTATTTATTTGAGAGAGAGAGAGAACGAGATGGGGGAGGGTCAGCAGGAGAAGCAGACTCTCCACTGAGCAGGGAGCCCCGATGCGGGACTCGATCCCAGGACTCCAGGATCATGACCTGAGCCGAAGGCAGTCGCTTAACCAACTGTGAGCCACCCAGGCGCCCTACCCTCAGTTCCTCTTGCTGCTCGCTCCTAGGATCAGAGCATGTCCCTAGAGGTCATCTGGTTGACCCGACCCTCCCCCCATCTCTAGATGAAGAACCGGGCTCATGTTCATAGAGCTAGTGAGTGTCAAAGAATCTGTCTCGGAGAAAGGAAGATGTAGACCAAGGTGGTAAATGAAATAACACAGAAAACATTTTTCTCCTTTGTACCCAAATTGGTCCTACTGACCCAGGGGTCCTGGGAACCTACGGTCTCTGTGGGTTGAGAAATACCTCATAGAGGGGCCATGGCCCACAAGGGCATCGGACAGGGCCCAGGCACCAGGGGTTCCTACACAGCGCTGGTGACCGGATGTGGTCCCTGATCTGCCCGAGGGGGTGCTAATCAGAGGCTGGGCAGGGAGACCTTGACCCAGACTCCAGAATGCTGGGGAGAGAGGTCACCCCTCAGGACTCAGAAGAGGGAGTTTCCCAGCAGTAAAGGGCCAGGTCATTGTTCCAAGAGGTGACTCAGAGTCAAGGTGCCATGAGAGATTAGATAGGGAAGTTCCAGGCTGTCAGCGCATGAAGCCTGACCCTCGGGGCCACATGACCTTTCATTCATTGTTCATCAATTCAAGGAGCATTCAAGGAGCCTTCTTGGAGGGCAGATCTGTGCCAGGCTGTGCCAGGCTGGGTGGTGGGCTTGGTGGGGAATGGGGGATGAGAGTAAATGGGGACAAGCCGATCCCCACCCTGGCTCATAGCAGAGTCTCTGGGAAGTTTTTTGTTTTAAAGATTTTTATTTATTTTAGAGAGAGAGCAACTGAGTGGGAAGGGGAGGGGGGAGGGGAGGAGAGAGAGAGAGAATCTCAAGCAGACTGCGCTGAGCATGGAGCCCGACATGGGGCTCCATCTCACAACCTTGAGAACATGACCTGAGCCCAAACCAAGGGTTGGACACTTAACCGACTGAGTCACCCAGGCGCCCCTCTCTGGGAAGTTTTAAAAGTCCACATGCTCCGCTTCCCAGAAGGCAGAAAATAGAGTACCCAGGCCTGGGCCCCACCCAGGCTAATTAAATCAGAGTCCCTGGGGATAGACCTGAGCAGCATCAAAGCACTGGTATTGTTTAAAAGCTCCCTAGGTGATTCTGATGAGCAACTGCAGCAGGGAATAGAGCTACAGGTGAGAACAGAATGAGCCATAAAAGATACCATAAAAGAAGCTTGGGGAGGGAGGTTTCTTTCAGCTCAATGGGTGGAGGCTGGTTCACACTGGGAGAGTTCACTCTGTCATCCACTCATCCACCCATCCACCCATCCACCCATCCACCCATTCACCATCCATCCATCCATCCATCCATCCATCCATCCATCCATCCATCTACCCATCCATTCCATCCATCCACTCACCTATCCATCCATCCATCCATCCATCCATCCATCCATCCATCCATCCACCCATCCATTCTATCCATCCATTAACCCTTCCAACCATCCATCCATCCATCCATTCCATCCATCCATTAACCCATCCAACCATCCATCCATCCATCCACCCATCTACCCATCCAGTCCATCCATCCATTCACTCATCCATCCATCCATCCAACCACCCATCCATCCACCCACTCTGCAAAGCGCTCACATGGTGTTAGATGCTGGGGGTTCAGTACTGAGCAAATATGATCCCCACCCTTGTGGGGACTAGATCTCGAGCGCCACCAGAACAGTGACTGAGGGGTGTTTGGGGATAGCTAGGAAGGAACACGAAACTGCCGCATACACTTTTTCTACTGTGGTAAAATACACATAAGATTTACCATTTTAACCACTTTAACGGACACAGTCCAGGGGCGTTCAGAACAGTCACGATGTTGTACACTACAACCATGGCCACTGTCTAGTTCCAGAATTTTTTCATCATCCCAGATGGAGACTCTATGCCCACTAGTAGGCCCTCCCCTCCCCCCACCCCAGCGCCTGACAGCTGCTGATCTGCTTGCTATGTGTATGGATTTGCCTGTTCTGGATGGTTCATATAAATGGACTCACACAACACATGGCCTTTTGTGTCCAGTTTCTTTCACGAAGCATAATGTATTCGAGGGTCATTCATGTTGCAACATGTATTAGCACTTGGTTCCTTTTTGCGACTGAATAATCTTCCATTGTGGAGATATATACCACGTTTTGTTGCTGGACATTTGAGTTGTTTCTACCTTTTGGTTATTGTGAATAGAGCTGCTATGAATTTCAAGTACAAGTTTTCTTTGAACACCTGTTTTTCCTTTGGGGTAAATACCCTTTTTGGCTCTTATTTATTCTTCGCTTTCCTTTTTTTTTAAGCAGTCAACATGGCTCTGATAAAAAATTTTCAAAAAGAAAAAGTGTTTGGGGCTAAAGAAGGGCCTTGAATGGCAAGCTAAAGAATGGGGGTTTTAATCAGGTAATAGGGAGTCAGGGTAGGGGTTTGAGCAAGAGAGTGACAAGATCAGAGCTGGGTGGGAAGACTGGAGGCTGGGCCCTCGGGCCAATCAGGGGCTGGGGAGGAGCGCTAAGCCCTCACCTCCCCAAGTCCCTGAGCCCTGGCCTCTGGAGCTGTTGGGAGCTCTCCAGGCCTGTGCTGGAAGGAGAGCACCTGAAACGCTCCCAGCTCCTCAGTCCTTGCTCCCACAACCCCCTCCCCTAGGCTCATCCGCCATGACCAAACTGAGCGCCCAAGTCAAAACCTCCCTCAACATCACCACCCCCGGGGTGCAGATATGGAGGATCGAGGTGAGACCCGCCTGGGTGTTGGGGGCTCTGCAGGCTGGGGTGGACTGAGGGAAGGAAGGAGCCTGAGATTGCTCTGCCTTCCTGGGGTTCAAGCCCTTGGTGCCTGTCCCCAAGGCCACCCTCCTCTTTTCTCAGACCTCCTCCTGCTCCTTTTCCTCCTCCCATTGTCACATCCAGTCTTCTGGTCAGCTTCCTCAGCCCTCCTCCTGCTGGTTCCCTGCCTCTCCCAGCTCTCCCTGGGGTCAAGGGAGGCAGGGCAGCTGGGGATTCTGGGTGGTCCAAGGCAGCCCCTCTGAGCTCCTTCCTCTCCCTAGGCCATGAAGATGGTGCCTGTTCCTTCCAGCACCTTCGGAAGCTTCTATGAAGGCGACTGCTACATAGTCCTGGCTGTGAGTGGGGGGGAGCACGGGAGGGTCTGAGCCGACAGCAAAGGCCTCTGCAGTGTCAGAGAGGAAGTTTGAGGCTGGGGGCGGGAAGGAGGGCTGGCCAGGTTTTACCCCTAGCCAGCATGGGCTGGGTGTGCCCAGGGGCCCCGCCTTTGGTAGCTCTGCAGGGTGAGAGGTAAAAGAGGCTCTCCCTGCCCTTGGCTCACTGAGCTCCCACCCGAGGTGAACTTCTTTGAATTTATAGTCGTGGGGACCCTCTGAGCAAGTAGGATGTCACCCTACCTCAGGTCCACATTTCCGAAATCCACAGTCCCCTTCGTTTCACCTTCTTGGTTTTTGCCACATCCTGTACTATTTAATGCATTTGTATTTGTCCTTATATTGATGCGCTTTTCAAATTTAAATCCATTTATTTAAAAACACAACTCCACATCATTATCATAATAAGTGGAAGGTGGTGTCCCAGGTCACAAACAGAAAGTAGCTATAAAATATTTACTTTAATCCTTTCCTCTGCACATTGGCTTGCACACCACCGAATCGCCTCACAGACCTGACGGAGCACGCACCTCACCTTGGGAAATGCTGCTCTAGGCAACCAACTTATTTCCAAGACGAGAGGAGCAGGACCCTGAGGGTCTCTGAGAGCCTGTGGCGGGGTGGGGGCTGAACTCTCGGCTCCTGACCACCCGCGCCGTGCGCTTCCCGCCTCCCCTTGCCAAGCTCACCCGAGGCCCAGGCCCCCTGTGTGTGCGAAACCATGCAGAGCAGGGAGGCGGCGGGAGGGCGTGGGAGCCCAGGGCCTGGGGCACACCACGCATCCCCTGTCCTCCCTAGATCCACAAGACCGGCAGCAGTTTGTCCTATGACATCCACTACTGGATCGGCCAGGCCTCGTCCCAGGACGAGCAGGGGGCGGCTGCCATCTACACCACGCAGATGGACGACTTCCTGAATGGCCGGGCCATCCAGCACCGTGAGGTCCAGGGCAACGAGAGCGAGGCCTTCCGAGGCTACTTCAAACAGGGCCTTGTGTACGGAGGGGTGCGCTGCCAGCGGGGAGGGACGGAGCTCGGGCCAGCGCGGGGAGCCTCTCGGGGAGACCCACAGTGGGCTTTTGGAGACCTCTGTTCTTTCAGCTTCCCTGCCCCCTTTCCTGCTGCTGCCCCATCTTTGGTCTTTATCCCTCTGTCTTTAGCTGCCCCAGAGGCTGTTGTGAAAGTCTGCGCACCATGAATTTTTGTAAATCAACCCCTCTTTGAATGTTCTGGAGAGCTCGGTACCGAAGGAGGCCTTCCAGGGCATCACATCAAGTCTTCCCTCTGGCCCATGGGCGGATGGCTACTCTCCATTCTCTAAAGGAACACTTTCACACTCAACACGCCGATTTCTACCTTTTCTTGAAAAGTCTGAAGTTCTGGCCTCTGGGCTTTTCCCGTGGAAACACACAGTCAAGAGCCAAGTTGCTACTGAGCAGTAGGATAGGCCGGGAGCTCTCCAGTGAGCCACGGTCCCCACCCCTCCCTTTCGTCTTGCTCCTCTTCTTCCCATACTCAGAGCAAGGGCCCATCCCTTTGGGCATTTGAGCTGGCATCTCTCCTGTCTGCTTGGGCTGCCCTAGCAAAATATTCTAGAATAAGTAGCTTGGGTCACAGAAATTAATGTTCTCACAGTTCTGGAGGTTGGGAAGTCCAAGATCAAGGTGCTAGCTGATTCGGTTGCTGGTGAGAGCCCCCTTCCTGGCTTGCAGACAGCCACCTTCTCGCTGTATCCTCCCATGGTGAAGCGAGTGAGCAAGCGCTCTGGTGTCTCTTTCTATAAGGGCGCTAACCTCATCACGGAGGGCCCACCCTCAGGACCTCATCTAAACTTTATCAAAATCTACCCCTCCCAAAAGCCCCATCTCCAAATACCACCACACTGGGGTTAAGGCTTCAACATAGGAGTTTGGGAGGGGACACAATTCAGTCCATAGCATCTCCCCTCTCCCCCTTCCCTGCAGCCTCCTGCCCTCCGAGTTCTGTCCTGTCCTTCCATCAGTCCACATCACCATGCGCCCTTCTTTGCGGGCCCTCTCAGCAGGGCAGTGTCTGCGGGGCGGGGAGTGAGGCACCTAGGGTGCAAACTTTAAGGAGGCTGAGGAAGGTCACACACATGCACACAGAAGACTGACCTTGCACTTGCATGATCCTGAGAGCGAGTACCTCAGAGTGGGCAGCTGAGGCACCTCATGCACCTCAGCCTAGTCCCGGGCCCAGCCCTCAGATGGCCCCAGTGGCAGCTGGGCACCCCGGCTCTGTCACGCCTCCTCCCAGCCCGCTCACTCCCTTGGGTCAGCTCCGTCTCTTCTCAGGATCCAGAAGGGGGGTGTGGCTTCTGGCATGAAGCAGGTGGAGACCAACTCCTACAACGTCCAGCGGCTGCTGCATGTCAAGGGCAAGAGGAACGTGGTGGCCGGAGAGGTGGGCATTGGCCCGGGCCCTGGGGCATGGCCTCCTGTGTCCCCTCCCAGCCTGGGGGGAGGGCAGAGGCCAAGGAGGGGTGAGGGCAGGGAGGAGGCAGGGAAGAGCCGTGGACTGTGGCAAGTATCTGAGTGGAGGTTGCAGCTCCCCTCTGGCGTTCCAGGTGGAGGTGTCTTGGAAGAGTTTCAACCTTGGGGATATTTTTCTCCTGGACCTGGGGAAGGTTATCATCCAGTGGAACGGGCCAGAGAGCAACCGCATGGAGAGACTCAGGGTAAGCGCTGCCCATGCACCACCCCTCTCCCCAGTCCCACTCGCCAGACGTCTGCCACCCCCAACCTGCCCCCACGTCCCCAGGCCCCTCTCGGCTGACTGCCCTGGACGGTGTGTTCCAAGGTAGATCTGAGTCTCCGTGTGTATGTGGAGAGGTACGCATGCTGGGGTTTGCATGAGTTCCGGGACTCAGCCACTGAGGTGTGACAAGTCCCTGTTATGTGGTGGACCCTGTGCCAAGCATTGCGGGTGCCGTGGTGAATGGCCTCCAGCTGGCCATCGAGCGGGGGACACAGACATGAAGGGAGTAACTGAGGAGTGAGGGGTGGGCGTGTGACATTGGGGGTTCTGGGAAGGCTTCCTGGAGGAGGTGGGGTGGGGGAGGGAAGGCCCTAAGGCAGGGGAGAAGTGGCCGGTGCCGGGCAATGGATGGCGATTACAGGGAGCTGGGAGAAGGGAGAGGGCTCGCTCTCAGGGCGTGTTCGGGGGCCAGGAGGCGGCATGAGAAGGCTGGGGTCCGTTCTCGGTGCTCAGGAGGTCTGAAGGTCGTCCTGACTTCTGAGTGGAGAAGGGGTGTGGAGGGGCTGCGGGGATGCAGGGAGCAGGCGGCCCTCTGCGTGAGGATGGGAGCAGGTGCCCCAGGCCCCGGGGACAGGAAGGGGGGATCCACTGGCCTTATGCGTGTGGCGGATGGGGCCGAGGAGAGAGGGGCGTTGTGCCTGAGCCACCATGGAGTGGATGGAGTGCCATTTCCCGAAATGGGAAAGACCAGGAGCAACAGATTGGGGAAGGTGGGGGGACCGAGTTCAGTTTGGGGCATCTTAAAACAGGTTATCATGGAAGTTGGGTAAATGAGAGGAGAGCAGAGAGCTGCTCTGGGGACAGAAATAGGAAGAAGTCCCGGGACTGGGGCTGGCAACTGAAATGCCAGTGTGTAGAGCAGTGGCCGCTAGGCTGAGGAGGGGGAGCCAGGGTGTGTGTGTGCGTGTGTGTGCACATGAGGAAGTGTGCCGTGCACGCGCGTGTGTACATACTTGCGGCCGTGTATATGCACGTGTGTGTGTGTGCACGCGCGTGCACATGCGAGCTCACTTTGGGGCAAAGAGACTGAGTGCTTTGATATCCAGGGCTCAGCTTTTGTCCAAAACTGCAAAGTAAAATCACAAATTTCAGTGTCAAAACAGAAGGCCCAGCAAGTGCACCCCAAATACCCTCCTGCCAACGAGAAACCTGCTTTCCCATGGGGTTCACTTGGTGCACTCTCGGGGGTACAGGCAGGACAGGTGCCTCGTCCCCTGGGGCTGCCGGAGGGGGGCCCAGGCTCTCCTGGCATGGCTGGGGGTGGCGGACGCGTACCCATCCCCCCCGCCGGCCTTCACGGGTCACCGGGGCCTCCCTGCAGGGCATGACCCTGGCCAAGGAGATCCGAGACCAGGAGCGGGGTGGGCGAACTTACGTGGCGGTGGTGGATGGGGAGAATGAGAAGGAGACCCCGAAGCTGATGGAGATCATGAACCACGTGCTGGGCCCGCGGGGGTCACTGAAGGCCGCAGTGCCCGATGACGTGGTGGAGCCGGCGGTCAAGGCCGCCCTCAAGTTGTACCAGTGAGTGTCCAGCTGGGCTCCTTGTGGCCGCGGGGCGCTCCCCCGGGGGGTGGGAGGGTTGGGCTGTGGGACCCCCCCATCCCTGCTGTGCCTTTGTCCTGCAGCGTGTCTGACTCAGAGGGAAAGCTGGTGGTTAGAGAAGTCGCCACGAGGCCCCTCACCCAGGACCTGCTCAGTCACGGGGTGAGAGGGCGTGGAGACCCCCAGCCCCAGCTCCCATCCCGCTGCACCCTGCCCAGTCTCCCCCAAGCGGGAGCAGTGCCGGGGGCTGGAGCGGGTCTGTGCCTGCCGCTCTGCGGCCCGGCACCACCGGCTCAGGCCCCCATGCTGCATCCTTGTCTCCCACCTCTAGGACTGTTACATCCTGGACCAGGGGGGCCTGAAGATCTACGTGTGGAAGGGGAAGGATGCCAACGCCCAGGAGAGGACAGGAGCCATGAACCAGGCACTGGTGCGCAGGGGGGTCCGGGAAGGGAGAGGGGAGAGAAACAGACGCAGCAGGGGGAGAGGAGTGGGGTCAGACCCGGTGTAGCGCTAGGCAGAGGCCTTGGAAAGCTCTGGGCCTGACCCAGCTAGGGGTGCTGAGGGTCAGTTCCGTAGCTGTCTTGGGGGTTTCTCTGCACGCCAGGGGGCCAGTCTCCAGGCCACCTGGGGGCCTCCTCAGGGTGTGAGCTCCCACCTCAAGCTCGGTTCAGAGAAAGGGAGAAATGGAGGTTGGCCTTCCCGCAAGAGGGGATTGGGTCAGCCGGCGGGTTGGGACCAAGTCAGAGTTTGGGGTCATTATTAGGGCTAGAGTCAGTAACCCTAGCTGGCTTGGGGTCAGCATTAGAATGGGGGTTGGGTTCAAGGTTAGAGATGGCAGCTGATGATTGGGGTTAAAATTGAGGTAGGGTCAAGTTTGGGGTCCCTTTGGGTTTTGGGGTTGTGGCCAGAGCAGGGTTTAGCTTTGGGGTCAGCACTGGGACTGGGGTTGGGTTCAAGTTTGGGATTGGGACCAGGGATAGGTTTGTGGTTCGGACTGGTTGGGGTTCGAGCCAGGTTCTGGCTTGCATTGGGGGCGGGGCTGTGGGGGGCTAGGAGAGGGACATAGACTCAGCCACCCTGTTCTCTTCCTAGAACTTTATCAAAGCGAAGCAGTACCCGCCGAACACACAGGTGGAGGTGCAGAATGATGGGGCTGAGTCAGCTGTCTTTCAGCAGCTCTTCCAGAAGTGGACCCTGCCCAATCGGACTTCAGGCCTGGGCAAAACCCACACCTTAGGCTCTGTGGGTGAGGGCCGGCCCGAGGCAGGGTGGGGTCAGGAGCCGGAGTGGGGCTAGGAGGGCCCCTGCACCTGTCCTCCCTCCCAGACACGCCTCTTCCATGCGCTCTTTCCCGCTGGCGCTGGGCTCCCCCGGTGGGGGGGGGACACGAGGGAACATGAGTAAACTGAGCTGTCACAAAAAGGAAGCTGAGAAGCACCTGTCTTTCCTTTGGAATGGGGTTGTCTCCCTGGAAACCAGATAGCGTCAGTGTCTCACCAGACAATATTTGCTGAACGCAAGCTCAGTACCAGGCCCCTGGAGGAGGATGAAAGGGTTGTCCCTCTCCTGGCCCCTCTGGGAGGCCCTGGTGAAGCCCGGGTCTCAGGGATGGGAGATGGGGTTTCGCATTATAACTGCCACTCTCCAGCTCTGTGACCTTGGGTAAGCCATCCGATCTCTCTAGCCTCAGATTCCCCATCTGTAAAATGGATCTAAGAATTGTAGTCATCACTCAGGGCTGTTGTGAGGACCTGAGGGACCTCAGCTTATGACAGCTGGTGTCCTGATCCCCCCACCCCCCCAGCCAAAGTAGAACAGGTGAAGTTTGATGCCACATCCATGCACGTGCAGCCTCAGGTGGCCGCCCAGCAGAAGATGGTGGACGACGGGAGCGGCGAGGTGGAGGTATGGTGAGGGTGGGAGGCGGGTGCTGGGTGGGGCGGGGTCGGCGGAACCTGTCCTGGCCCTCATACCAGCTTGGTACTGGCCCCAGGTGTGGTGCATCGAGGACCTGGAGCTGGTGCCGGTGGACTCCAAGTGGCTAGGCCACTTCTACGGGGGTGACTGTTACCTGCTGTTGTACACCTACCTCATCGGCGAGAAGAAGCACTACCTGCTCTACATTTGGCAGGTCAGGCCCCACCCTTCCCTGTCCCGAGCACAGCTAGCTCGGCTCCCACTCCAAGTGGCCATCACCCTTGAGTTGAATACCTCTGGTGATGGGGAGCTCACCCCCTTTTCCATCCTGGGACTGTTTAGGCTATGAGATCCCAGTGGTACAGGGTACCCCCATTCACAATCCTTGCCCCTTCTCTGAGTTCTTGGAGTCTCCCTTCCAATTTCCATGGCTTCCAGAACATCCCCTTCATCTGCTCAAAGCACCATGGATTTGTGGGTCCAGATGTGAGTGCACAGGGAGATGCTTGGGTGCTGGGGGTAGTGGTATGATAGCCATGGTGTGCCCCCGAGTAAGAAGGAGAGGAGGTCTGGGGTTAAGGGCGGAGTAGCAGGTGAGCTAGGGCTGGCGGAGGGCCAGGAAAGGATTAGGTGTGGGGCTGGGCTCAAACAGGTCTGGGTCACATGGGGTTTGGGCTGTGGCCAGGGCGGTATTTGGTGGGGCAGACCGTTTTGGAGCCAGGTGAGAATCGGGGATGGAGTCGTTGCTGCAGCCGGGGACGGGCTCAGAACTAGGGCCGGCCTCGTCCCCCCAACTTCCATCATGCTTGTCCCCAGGGTAGCCAGGCCAGCCAGGATGAAATAGCAGCCTCTGCCTATCAAGCCGTCATCCTGGACCAGAAGTACAACAACGAACTGGTGCAGATCCGGGTCCCAATGGGCAAGGAGCCACCACACCTCATGGCCATCTTCAAGGGACGAATGGTGATCTACCAGGTGTGGCTGCTGGCCTGAGGCGCCTGGCAGGACCGACGATTGCGGCGGGGTGGGCATCAGGAGATGGGGAAGGGGACCCGGGGCGGGCCTGGGGGTGAAGCAAGCACTTAGTTGGAGAAGACTGTGTGAGGCCCCATCACCCATGTGGAACCAGCAATAGAAACCGCCACTCCATAGGAATGAGTATGGAGCGTGGGCAAGTCCC